CCCCTGCTCTGCACACGCTCTCTCTCTCTCTCTCTCTCTCTCTCATTCAGCTCAGCTCCAACAATGAACTGTTCCAATTATACACTTATTTTCACAGAGCTATGAGAAGCGTTATACATGGACGCGCCTGCAGTTGCCGTACTGTATTAAAGCTTTTTTCAGGATAAAACCGTATATTAAAAGCTAACATAAGCAGTAGCATTTACAAATAACAGCGTGCTCTGCATCTCTCTCTCTCTCATTCAGCTCAGCTCGGACAATGAACTGTTCCAATTATATTCTTATTTGCACATAGCTATGAGAAGCATTAAGCATGGGTTGCTGTACTGTATTAAAGCTTTAATCAGGATAAAACCGTATATTAAAAGCTAACATAAGCAGTAGCTTATTTACAAATAACATCATATCTAAAAGTATGAGACAACAACAAACAAAAAACATAGGCCTACCATTAAAAGCAATCCTTGCACAGGTTCTGCATGATCCTCTTCAATAATATCCTCTGCTTCTCAATCGGGCTCAAATTGATAACCGATATTAACGACGCCGTTGTTTACAATACAACTGGAGCACATGCCACTGAGGCGAGGGGCGGGACATTAGACGCGCACTAGAGGCAGTTTAGCCAATCACAACACACTGGGCTAGCTAACCAATCAGAGCCCATCACCTATTACTTCATAAAAGCGGGAAATGATCAGCGCGTTTCTCAGAGAAGGGACAGAGCGGTGTGGAATAAAGGTAAATTATGTGAAAAATAATGTGTTTTTTTTAAACGAAGCATTAACACATGTTAGACTGCACCCCATAAACACAATCAAGCCTAGAAAAAAAAACAGTCAACCACCCCTTTAAAGAGACATGCACAAAAACATTGCGTTTCTGCTTCCACTCAAATTAGGCATTTTCAAAATGATATAATAAATGATCTGTGGGGTATTTTCAGCTGAAACTTAACAGACACATTCTGGGGAGATGATGAGAGAGATGTAATATAGAAATAGGAATATAATAAAATATTAACTACTGGTATATACGGTATTGTGTGTGTGCACATTTTGTATGCAGATTTATTAGTATTCTGTTAAAAATTTGAATAAATTAACTGCTCTCTACACTCTTTGAAACATTAATATTATAAAATTCTTTAAATGTGTCAATTTTGTTAAAAAATATTTATCAACTTGAGCTAACATGCCAAATTTGACATTTCTCAAATATTTTGTAAAAGCTTTTCTTTCTTTGTTTTTTATATTCAAATATTTCACCCTGAGCTCCAGTTTGAAAACCTTGGTCTTAGTACATTTTCCAATTTTCAGCCTTAAATTGTTTTTGACGCCTCAATAATTGTGTTTGATTGTTTCCAGAGGACCTACATCAGCAGGCAGATCATCGCTACAGATGGAGGGAATCGGAGCAGTTCAGTCGAGCTGGCAGTCACCATCACCAATGTGAAGAACCAGCCTCCACAGTGGGAGAAGGACAAATATGAGGTCGTCATACCTGAAAACACTGTCAGAGACACTCCAGTTGTGGTATGCACTTAACACGACGCTAAACACTTATAAACTACTAGATCTCTGCAAATATGTAAATTATGTAGATTTATGCCTGCTTTTAACTGCACTTAATGACAAGATCAGAGTCATACAGTATAACAAACAGTGACTGTCAGTGGCCCACAGATATTCATTACATAAATATGTCGATTTCACTCGTGCTAAATATTCTGTGAATGAAGGACCATAAACCAAAAGGCAAAACAAACATACAGCTTCTGCTAAGTGATTTATTACTTTGGCCTTTGAAGCACACCTGTGAGGCACTCCATTAATGACCATGTCTTTCATGTGTGCATTGAAGGAATGCTATGATGGATGTGGATAAGTTTTAATCCCACAATAAGGTTCTGGGTATTCCTTGAGGGGCTTGAGTTCCCAGACACTGTCGACTTTACTGTCATGTACTGGCAGTTACAACTGACAGGCTGTGCTTTCTGCTCGACCACACAGAGTCTTCACACAGCCTGTCACAAATCCACAAGTACACAAAGGCACACACATACACAGTCCATTTAAACTAATGGTTAGATGCTGTAAGATTCCAGTCCCCACTTCAAGCTGCGTTTCTGTAGCCCTGCCATGAATCATCTGATCCTTCGCTTCACATTTTAAGGGCGTTGTTTCATTACATTCACTATTTAGGAAGTCAGCCAATCGCAGTCACTGGATAATTTATGGACATTTCCTTTTTTTCCCTGTTTTCATTTGGTTACAAATGCACTGAAAGCATTAATTTGCAGAATTTCCTGGAATACATTTATTGCCATTAAGACCATTATTAATGTAGATGAGCATTTTATGAAGAGCAGCATAAATAAACAGGGCGAGGAGGAACAAAGGGCAAAAAAGGAAAATAAATAAAGACAAAAATAGAGAACTGCACAGAAACAGTGCTTGCTCTTCTCCTTCTAATTGATCTTGTGTTAAACGTTGTTTGTGTTCTTGTTGGTATAGAAGTAATTGAGCTTATTTAATTGATCTGTTGTGGTGATCTCCTTACAGTTGCCCCATTAACAGAGATTCACAGCTGTTATATTTAAAGACGGAGATTAAATTTGCCTAGGACAGAAAGAGAAGTCTTTGATGTTGAACCTGATCAACCTGCAGTGTTCAGATGTGTCTGACTTATAGCATTGCTTTTCATTTTTTTAAATAATTGATTATTTAATTGATGAATCATTAATTTAAAATAGTGATTATTATTTTAGTAATATATTATATAGTATTTTAACTATGTGAATATTATATACAGTATGAAAGAGTTTGGGGTTGGCAGGATTTTTCAAAAAATAAATAAATAAAATAAATCTCATGCTCATCAAGGCTGCATTTATTTGATCAAAAATACAGTAAAAACAGTAATATTGCACTATAGTTAAGTCATTAATAGTAATATAATTTTAATATGCCAATTTGGTGTTCAACAAAACATTTCCATTGGGAAACTGATCACTTCTGATCAATTCCGTGCTGTATAAAAGTATTAATTTCTTTCAATAAAATAAAAATCATACTGACCCCAAACTTTTGAATGGTAGTGTATATATGAATATTAAACAATTTCCTCCTGGCAGACTATCAAGGCCACTTCTCCGCTGGGTGACCCGAGGGTGACTTATAACTTGGAAGATGGATTGGTGCCAGAAAGCAACATGCCTGTTCGTTTCTACCTAACCCCGAATCGTGAAGATGGCTCTGCCTCTATACTTGTCACAGAGCCCTTGGACTATGAGACCACCCGCAACTTCATGCTTAGGGTTCGAGCTCAGAACGTGGCTCCTGTGCCCCTGGCGGCCTTCACTACTGTTCACATAAACATCACAGGTAAAGGACATCTACGTGGCCTGGCACAGCAAAAACAGGTATAGAGGTTGTCATGAGAAAAATTTGACATTTATTATTGACTGTGTATTCCTATCTGTGTGGTCTCTTATGCAGCCTAATAATCCAACCACCCGCAACTTCATGCTTAGGGTTCGAGCTCAGAACGTGGCTCCTGTGCCCCTGGCGGCCTTCACTACTGTTCACATAAACATCACAGGTAAAGGACATCTACGTGGCCTGGCACAGCAAAAACAGGTATAGAGGTTGTCATGAGAAAAATGTTACATTTATTATTGACTGTGTATTCCTATCTGTGTGGTCTCTTATGCAGCCTAATAATACAACTGATCCTGTAGCTCAACCAGAATGACAAACCTTCATGTAAACTTTTAATTTAGCTCAGTCCAATTGAAAATAATTGGTGCAGATCTTATATAAACCGAGTTACTTCCATGTAAACCTTGTATGAACCCAGATTTAAAAGTACCTTGTATGCACAGGCAGTACAATGACGGACAACACTTTGCATGTAGTTGGAAACTAAGTTGGAATAATATAAAGGATATGAGGTAGATATTACAGGAAGATATTACAGGCCTGAAACATCTCAACATGGCTTTAATGTAACTGAATGTATATAAATACAAAATTTGGATTATAATGAGATGCAAAGTGTAGCTTTAACTTGAAAAGCAGCTCTTTGCATGTGCAAATGGATATTTTCACCAAATTGTGGAACTTAGTGTGCATGTAAATATTACATCTAGACAATTTGAATTTGGACTGAATTGAGAGCAGTGAATGTAGTCACTGTAGTGCTTGTTTACAAACCATTTACATTTATAGTTTTAGCAGGCACTTTCATATTTCTTATTAAAGCAATTTACAAGACAGTGTCCTTATATCTACACTTTAATCACATTTAAAATGACAGCTTTTAATCAGTTTCTTGTTTGAATTCCAGTTCCTTGTCCTTACACTTGTTAATTTATTTTTATAATCCATTCACGCTCTTAAACTCTGATTATTGCAGAATGCGTCCTATAGCAACGACTCTTTAATAGCTTTTATTTCATCCCACCCTGTCTGTTCGCCTCTACTTAAGCATTCCTCTGTGTTCGTCTCTTCCACCGCAGGAAGTCTCTGTACTTCCCCTGTAATTTACAGAGTTTGCCCTGCAGTGTTAATCTGGCTCTCTCTTCATGGATGAATCCCTTGCTCTCCCCCAGTTATGAGTGCTCCATAATACTGATCCAGCTACAGTTACAGTACTTAAAAGATGTATGTTAATTCATCTGGAGTTGTAGGAGGACATTGGCACCTGATCAGGATCGGTTTTGTGAACTGAAGGGTAACATCTTCATGGGAAACACTCTATCGTTCAGCGTAATCCACAGATAAATAATTAACCTGTTCTGTTGCTTTTGACTTATTTACACCTTGCTTCTTTCTCCATTTAAGAGTACAGCCAGTGCCATGTTCAAGAGAGAGAGAGAGAGAGAGAGGCAGAGTGAAATGAGAGAGTGCTAGAGGGAGGAGGTCGTAATGGATTTGGCCTTCCTCTTTAATTCATGGTTTACGGCTTTGGCTGATAGAAAATTAAAACCTCAAAGTACATCAGATGGTGATTAGTGTCTGGAATCATTGAACCCATTAAAGATCTTACCCTAAATTCCAATGTCCTCATGTCCCTTCTAGGACTGAGAGCAGCACATTTTGGTATTCATTTCCGCTTGAACACACAGAATCCACTAATGTAATAAGGCTGAGATAAGACATAATGTCAGAGTTAAGATAAGTCAGATTTGTTTCTGACGGAAAGGCAGAGTTTTAACTTCCCTCAAGCTACCAAAGATATTTATGCGTCTTCATGGTCAGGTGGCTGGAACTCCACAAAAATAGGTCAAACTGATGCGAATGTCCAGCAATTCGTCTCTGGTGAAACTGATTGCAGGGATATAACTAAAGACAGGACAAACTAACAAAAACATAAAAACAACTGCGGAGCACGCCACGGAGGCAGCCATCAGCGTCGGCGCCATCTTACTAATTGAGTTGAGGGGCCTTTCACCAGTCCTCTGAATTACAAATTCCATGCAATGGAACAATAATGAGTATCATTTGTGGGTGTGAATGCTAATATAATTTTTTCTCTTACAATACCCCCCTTACACACAGCCCCTTTTGTGCCAGATGGGGTTTGCTGCGTGTTTTATTAACCTGACCCCTGCAATCATTTTATTTAGCCGTTTACATTTAATTCAGCCTCTTACTTGTGTTCTCGGCTCTAATGCGGCCAGCAGGGCATCATTTAATACTCACACCACGCTGGTTTAGTGTGGCCGTTCAGAGCAGCTTGTCTGATAATTGTTGTTTGGGGCTTGTTGAAACAGCAGTTGGCACCTCTTCATCAATTCAACAGTTCTGGCTATCTAGATTAGCTTCATTATTCTTAACTTGAATGGCCTTGATTTCTGCTTTACCTGCTGGGTAATGTAACGCCAATGTGCGTTACAGGCATTACCGGCAGAACACGCAACAGGAGGTCTCAGCTTCAGGTCAGAGAGCTGGGTGAATAAATGAAGAGATGGCTGGATTGTTTAATTACATGTGGTTAGATGAGGTGGAACAGTCTTAAGCACACATATACACACAGGAAGACCAGTATTAATTGTTAATGCGTTTTCCCACAACCCTGTTAAATGTTCTGTGACAGGTTTGGCACTATTTCTCCTCTGTATGTCATTTCTTTTTGCCAATTTCTTTTTTTATTGTGTCTCAGATCTCATACTCTCTACTATCAGAATCCTTTTTTTTTTTTGTCGTAATCCTTGTTGCATAATGTCACATCTCACCCCAGAGTATGTTACAACCTGGACTAGTATGGGGTGAATTGTAACATTTCACTCATGTTTGAAACTAAACAAAGCATTTTCTGTTTGTGCTGCAAAGATAACAGCTATGCCAGTTAATACAACAAAACTGTTGCACCTCTATGAACAAAACACCACTGGATTTTTGAATGAATTAGGCAGATCAGTGAATCAATGACCCTTTATAAAGACATCCACTTGCTTGGTTCCTGAATTAATCAGCCACTTGAATGATTTGATTCAGTGAATGACTGAATCTCTCACTCATTGGTTTGATTGCACTCAAGATTGGTTTGCACTCTGAACATTTTACATTTTTTTGGTTAACGCAGTTCATAATGTCATGAGATTAAAATGTATTCAAAAACATTAATCTCATGACATTAATTACTGTGCAACTAAATCTAAATGACACTTCAGATGCAGCTTCTGAGCCACATCTGCAGTCTAAAGATGAATTTTGTTGATACTGATTTCATTTGATTGGTAACAGCATTATAGTGTTTAAACTAAATGTAATAAAATGTAAGAATTTGACATAAAAGACAGTGTATACTTATAATACGCTCCTTGAAATCAGTTTAAGGAGGCAAATATCTCCACTTAATGGAAAGTAAAGTTCACTGCTGACAATTGTGTCTGGAAAGAAAGTTATTCAATATCAACTTTATTGAACTGTTGTATTAAAGCAATATCACACTTGCAGTCAGTTTTAGACTGCTAAATACCATTTCATTGACACAGCTCAGTTACGACTTCCACTTTATAACCTATTTTATAACCAAACTGCCTCCCTTAAATATTCAGGACTCATGCAGACCATATTTGAAGCTTGTGTTTGTCACTGTCACAATGGTCATTGATCCTATCAATAAAACAAGAATTTATACAAGATTCTTCATATAAGTTAGTAATTACAGCTGTCAGTCACAAACACTGACTGTTTGAACATAGCCAGTGGGGTTGTGGGACTTCACAATACAAAGCTAAAGAGGATCTAAAGTTCAGGGGAATATTTCCATTAGCTGCATAAAATATTACATTGCATAATCCTTGTTTAATATAGACAGCGTGACAGTTTGATTGGATTTGTTAGACCACAGGGCTAGCCAGAGTCTCACACAAATGTATTTTTCATTCATTGTGTGGAATATTAATATGTCTCTTTTGCCTAAATAACCCACTAACACTTGAAGTAAACTAGACAAAAAAGTTGCTGGTTTAAATGTTGATGAAGGTGCCAGAGGAGAAGGGGCAATATCAGGGAGCAGCAGGGACAGTCTGAGAGAGAAATTAGTCTGCTCCAGTACTCTCTGTCCTCCTCTGCTGTCTGTCTGCTCACAGTTTGCCTTGCACTCCAAACAGAGGAGACGTGCACTCCAGCACACTTACAACTGTAATGAAATACACAAATTTAGATGATCAATTTGACAACACGGCAGTGTCAAATATGGTCCAGCACACAGGAGACAGAGTGTTGATTAGCGGAGAGTCACATGTACACACACATAATTACTCCGAAACATGTGAACGCTAATTGCACTAAGATGCTGTCAAAAACGTCAGTATGACAAGGAAACAAAACACAAGTGCTGTTTGAGAAGAAAATCACACAACAGAGTTGTGCCTGTGCGTTTGTGAGGGGAAAACATGACCGCGTCTTCATGGCGGAGCTCTGAACAACATGCCAACCTGTCAAAGGGTGGCAGCTAAGCGTATGCTGTGCTCTTTTTACACAACATAACACGTCAGAAAGAGAGCGGGATCAAGACTCGAATCAGACACTTTATCTACGAGTCTATCCGCCTCTCACAGCCCTGACTGAGCTGAAGGCTCTGAAAAGGTCACTACGTGTTTGATTGTTTAAGTTCTTCAGTGTTTCTTTAGAGTACCATAGGATGTGTTGCTTTAAAGTGATTGTTCACCTAAAAATGAAATTTCGGTAGCACTTTAGGATAAGGAACAGTTTTAGAATAAGGAATATTTCCCTCAATAAACTGCTAATTTACTGCTTATTAATAGTACTAAGGTTAAGTTTAGGTATGGGGTAGGGTTAAGGGATCTGAAATATGGTCATGCAGAATAAGGCATTAATATGTGCTTTATAAGTATTAATAAACAGCCAATATGGTAGTTATATATGGGCTTACATTTCTGCCACAATTCTGCGCGCGAAAGATCATATTTTGAGCGCACAAAAGTGCATTTTGCACGCGCGCGATCTGAGTTTGTGGAGAAAATGTTCGTTTCGCAAAGAAAAAAGTCTTTCGAGCACACGGAAATTAATTGTATGATCTTTCGCGCGCAGAATTGTGGCAGAAATGTAAGCCCATAGTTATATGCATGCTAATAAGCATCTTCAAAATAACGGTGCTTCAAAAGGTTCTTCAAAGACATAAAAGATATATTGAGAAATGTCTATTTTTTTCCGTTTTTTTTTTTTTTTTTCAAACCCTTTTGATGATCAGAATTCTTCAAAATGTCTTATTTTATGTTCCACTGAAGAAAGAATGTTATAAAGTTTTGGAACAACAATAACATGAGGGTGAGTGAATGATTTTGACGCAACCCGGCCCAAGTTTGAACGTGCTTTTTTCTGATCCCATTCTTCTCCTTTTTCCAATTTCATATCAGCTCAGAGAGGCATTTATTTTTAAATAAAAATGAATAAAATATTCCAAAAGTGGAAATAAAGTGGTATTTATTATTGGAATTAAAGTGTGTTTAATGGGCATTTAATAGGCTTTGCCTTTATTGGAGGTTCAGTATGGTGGTAGATGTAGGGTTGGGCTTTAGGGATATAGAAACAAGTAAGGTCCCAACAGTGTTGGGGAAAGTTACTTTTAAAAGTAATGCGTTACAATATTGCGTTACTCCATAAAAAAGTAACTAATTACGTTACTTAGTTACTTTTTATGGAAAGTAATGCGGTACGTTACTTTTGCGTTACTTTGAACATAAAGATATATTGAGAAATGCCTATTTTTTTCCGTTTTTTTTTTTTTTTTTTTCAAACCCTTTTGATGATCAGAATTCTTCAAAATGTCTTCTTTTATGTTCCACTGAAGAAAGAATGTTATAAAGTTTTGGAACAACAATAACATGAGGGTGAGTGAATGATTTTGACGCAACCGGCCCAAGTTTGAACGTGCTTTTTTTCTGATCCCATTCTTCTCCTTTTTCCAATTTCATATCAGCTCAGAGAGGCATTTATTTTTAAATAAAAATTAATAAAATATTCCAAAAGTGGAAATAAAGTGGTATTTATTATTGGAATTAAAGTGTGTTTAATGGGCATTTAATAGGCTTTGCCTTTATTGGAGGTTCAGTATGGTGGTAGATGAAGAAAATAAAAACGTTATATTTTTGGCAAATATAAAAGCCTTTTCACACCAAAAGTGAAATGAATAAGCTTCAGGCTGAAGGGAAAGTAAATTTACGTCTGTACAGTAGAATGCAGAAGAAGAAATTTCAACACACTTCAGCAATAAAAAAAGACACGCAAATGTTTGTCTAGAGTAATTTTTGCTTATTAGTATGGTTGAACTGGATCATCGAAGGTCAGAAGCAAAGACATTGGTTAATAGAATGGGATTAAATACATAAAGGATATTTGTGTTGTTTAACATTTAATTATTGCAGGTTTGCGTTATATTCTGAGTTGCATTATTTTTATTCATTTTGAGGACTACTGAACTTGTGTTGTTTTTTTTAGATGAATTAATGCATATTCATATTTATTTTAGAACTACAGGGAACATCTTCTCATTTCTCAGCATGGGGACAGGAGAGCTGTCAATCAATAAATTGGAAAAAAAAAGTAACTTGCGTTACTTATTTGAAAAAGTAACTCAGATATTCTCTTGTAAATTAAAGTAATGCGTTACTTTACTAGTTACTTGAAAAAAAGTAATCTGATTACGTAACTCACGTTAAAAAAAGTAAGTTACGTTACTTATTTGAAAAAGTAACTCGGATATTCTCTTGTAAATTAAAAAGTAATGCGTTACTTTACTAGTTACTTGAAAAAAGTAATCTGATTACGTAACTCGCGTTACTTGTAATGCGTTACCCCCAACACTGGGTCCCAATATGGCAGCCATTTATCCTTTTATGATTAAAAAAATACAATATATACACTGAATTTGTTATTATTATTATTGCATGTTTATATTGTACTACAATAAGCTGATGTGCAGGTATCTGCACTAATTACAAATAGCATACAACACTATTTGCGCCTTGTCTTTCATTTGCGGGTGAACTTTTCCTTTAATAATTGCTCTTATCTTCAGCAGCAGATTGTAATTGATGTGTCTACTGATAATTATATCACATAGAGCTCATTTAAATTGGGCAAGCATCACAAATTTCACTTGCTTGCACTCAGTAAACACACAATCCCCAGGGTTCTTCACATCACCTGATGACTTCAGACACAACATAGAGCCACACACATGAGAGGAAGATAGAGAGATGAAGATGGACAGAAAATGAATGAGACAAACAGAAGACACATGAATTTGATGGAATTGAAAATGTCAGATATTTACAAAGATGGGAGGGAGGAGAGAGCGAGAAAGAGAAGTGGGGAAATGACAGAAGCAAACACTTGAATGTAAGAAAGACAAGAAAAGTGAAGTAAAGATAAGAGTGTCTGAACAAAGATTGCTAATCTTGTGTGTTTCTACTCTTGTCAGATACGGCGTATGTGCGTATTTTCATCAGCGACGTGAATGATAACAAGCCGGTGTTTGCGCAGTCCGTGTATGAGGTTGACGTGGATGAGGATGCTGACGTGGGCTCCACCATCCTCACTGTCAGCGCTAATGATGAAGATGAAGGTAGGTGAAGATGAGGATGATGGGTAGAATAAAATGCTCATTTGTAAGAGGGAAGTAGGAAATATGAAGTGTTGACTCGGGGTGTAAATGAGGGTCGTAGTTTTGAGAACCTGACATCACAGCTCAAGTGTGATCTTCAACACCTGATGCATTTTCTGTAAATTGCAAGGGAAATGTAGAATAATTAATTAATGAAGACCTTATAAAAAATATCATTATCAATATCATTAATTATGAGGAAAAACTAGGCATGCTTTATTATACATTTCATTTTATAAAAAAAATAGTACTTCAAAAGATTAAAATTATGGAAAAACGTGGAAGATCAAATAAAAAGGGAAATATTCTTTCAGTATTTACAGTGTGTCAGCAGTTGGACTATATTAGTGCATAAACCACTCACAGGGCTTGGCTAGCTCACAGCGATATTAATGAAACACAGTTAGAACATGTTCCCATGAGTTTGAGTTTGTCTCCAGGCTATTGCTCTCATATTCTGTATCTGTACCGATCATGAATGAGAGACAGAGACAGTTGGTTCCTCATCAATATACCCTGAGAACATAACAAATGCTGCTCCCAAGATAACCGGCCTCATACATTGCCATGCAAAAGCCTTGGATAATATTTTTGTTTTATCACACACACTCCAGAAACACGCTGGAAGAGGATAGTCTACATAACTCATCAGCCAGCCTGTCTGGATATACAGATGCACTACTGAAGCGCGTAATTCCCTGTGGTCCAGCTGAATCCACGTCGTGCTCCTCAGTGTGGATTTGATGCAGGAGAGGGGAAGGGAACTCTTGTATCAGTCATTCATCATAATACAGCCTGGAGTTGCTGGACATTTCCCGAGCCTGAAGCTTTACCCTGATGAATAGATTTCAGCCTTCGCTGCAGCTCTGACTTAACCTGCGCAGCCACTGGAGCAGAGCCATCATAGCACATCTGTGCTTCCATAAGGAAGCCGTGCTTGATTCTGTGTATTAGCAGAAAAAGCAAATAAGCCAAATATTCCCTAATGCAATTTTGTTGAGGTACCCAAGGCAACACGAGATGGTGGAGATGAAATGGCGATAAGGCTCCTAATGTATCGTTCCCTATTCATTAACCTCGTACCAGCAGGGATATCTAAACACACTGCGAGCAGATCTGAAGGATTGTTAAGCAGGAGTGTTTTTGCACTGTTTGCTTAACTGGGTTATTTGTTTATATGAAGTCTCTTTGCATTTATTACCGACCTCAGAGAGCTGAGCTTTGAGTCCTAAATACAAAATAACAGCAAAGGAGTTATAAAGAATTTAATAAAATAGCATGCTCACAACACATGCATTGCATCCTTCACTGTTTAATTAACAGAGCCCAACAGGGGATCCAAACATTTTCTTTTAAGCTTGTTTGGACTTTCATCTGTTCGCATGTGAACGAAATGTGAACCAAAATTCAGGTTTGGCGAACTCTGTCCTACAAATTCGGTTAGCACAAGCAATAGACACCATAAATATCACAGGCTGGATGGATTCAAAGAACACGCAGACAATAAAGCTATGTGGCTTGCCGTGTTGTGAGGTCACAAGTATTTTTGCATACTGAAGTGTGGTTTTGGTCTACTGTATGCTGCAGCTCTCGTTGGCTACGTTCACAGCACAGGTGATATTGACCTAAATCCATTTTTCTTTGTGAGATTGTTCATTGTCATATTAAATGTGCCCGCCAAATTTACCTAACAGCATAAAATCAGTTTATCAAAGTGTGTTAGGCCGTGTGTCCACCAAAGCATTTTTTTTTTCTTATGAGGCTAGCGTATTTTTTCAATTGTTTTGGTGGAAGCGTTGTATATTTTTAAAAACGGTAGAAGCGTGATGAGATGCTAAGTGTCTGTTTTACACTGTGCATTTTACTTGTTGCCTAGAGTTGAACAATTTTCAACTTTGGGTAAAACGCAACGTTCATCACTGTAACTTTCTAATCTAGCTGTCACAATCACAGTGGAGGAGGGGCGGGACAAATACCACACCAACCAACTGTCACATCCTGCTTGCACTATGACTGAACAACAATGGAGTTAATATTGATTTTAAAAATAATATTTTGAGTATTCATGTCTGTACTAAATGAAATTCTCAGAATACCACCAATATTGAGAAACATTTCATTTGCTATGTATCTGTCACATTACTTATATATTATATTATATATGTTATATTTATATGTTATATTTTACCTAATGGTACCAGTATTAGTTAAATATATTACATCTATTTAAATATCTTAAGTATATTTGATGCTGTTAATTCCTTTTACACATGACAACATGTTTGTTTAATTTGCCTAAAACAGTAACCAACACAAAAATAACCTTTTAATTATAATTACTGTATTTATTATTGTTGTCTTCGTATGAAATTCAATGATCATCAAAGTTCATTAAGAATAAAATATAAGAGTTAGTCATTTGTACAAACACTATTGAGAAGATATTTTCACACAAAAAAAACACACCTCTTTAAATATATGTAATATTAAATGTGTAGTTATATAATGGAAATTATCATCTACTCATCCACATTTCATTCCAAACCAATGTAGCGTCTGGACCAATCAGACACACCATTTTTCATTTGATTTAACAAATCAATTATTCATTAGATTAACAAACGTTCACAGACCCCTCACCCAATAAACATACTGGGTGCCAAGTTGTCTGTGAACAAGGCCCAGGACCCTGGGCTCATAACTGAAGTCACTTACTCATGCAGATTTATGCTACAAGCTCTGTGTAGAATTGTACAGTAAGAAAGTAATTTCCCTTAACCAGGAAATTAACGTTCTTAGAATTGACAGACAGTTTGACCCTGAGAGGTCAAGTAAATATCTACAGCGGATCTAAATATTTATAATTAATTATAACTAGTTATGATTAATTATTCATATTTCCCCATAAATGAGCTGATTCGCTACACCAACATGACTTTATTTCCTCTGTGAAAAAAAAAGAAAGTATTTTGAGCCTTGATTTTAGACCTCCAATTTTGTGTTTTGCAGAAGGTAGTCAAAGAGATTTGAATTGAATCCACTCTTTTACCTTTCTTGTGCTTAATCAAACTAAACTGTCCATGATTTAATTCAGAAAAAAATAAAAATAAAAAATGTATCTGAGTTACATGCACAAAAGCACAGAATGGGGCCGTGTTGGTGGCATTGACAGAATAAAAAGGTTTAAGTTACATGAGTCTTGAACACTGCATTTTCTTTTGAGTTTGAACTTGTGTGCTTCAGAAGAGAGCTTGAGCTGAATGGACTTTTGATTGAATGTCTGACAAGAGCTATGCAAAAGTACAAAACAAAGTTTTAGCGCAGGAAAAATCTGAAATAAATTAACGTTTTTCACAGATTATTGTGAAAAATAAAATAATTTTTCATTCAGACATATCTCCACCTAATTTGAAGTTTATTGGTCTATGTTTCCATGGTGGCAAGTTTCCAAGGGTACTCTTGACAATAACCTCTAAAGGCCATTGAAGCAGTTTATTGTTCACCTGCAGCAAAAAGCTTGTTATCGTATTTTAAATAGATAAATTTTTCCTGCTAACCATTTTTCCACTTTTAAAAGTTTTTGAATTTTGGCTTTTTGTTCAATAGCCTTTATATCAGTGTCAGTGTAGGTCTATGCTTTCCTCTTTGTTCCTCTTAAGAAGTTTTCTTTGTTTTCATTAACTCCTCTTATTCTTCAGGTGCTAATGCCAAGTTGCGCTACCAGATTACATCAGGCAATGTGGGAGGTGTTTTTGACATGGAGCCCGAGGTGGGAACCATCTTCATCGCCCAGCCGCTGGATTATGAACAGAACAAGCTCTATAAGTTGCACGTCTTGGCGTCTGATGGGAAGTGGGAAGATTATGCTACTGTAATAGTCACCATTGTGAATAAGAACGACGAAGCACCTGTGTTCTCTGTGAACGAGTACTATGGCAGCGTGACAGAGGAGCTGGACGGTTCTCCTGTCTTTGTGTTGCAGGTACTGCCTTTACATTCTCTGTATTGTACATATCAGCTCTGTTCAATTTTCAGATCACATGTTTGTCATTTTAAAATAGCAACTTTTTTTGTGGCTCCTGTTTCTTAATTAAAAAAAAAAAAGATAGAAAGAAAATATTAGGAGCTCCTCTAAATGTAACAAAAACAGGTCATGGACGTGTGAATACCACATTCTTCTTTCATTAATAGGCTATTTGAAAATGAATAATACAACAATTCATTGGAAATTGCCCAAACACTAATTTATGTTACCTTACCAGGGTATTTTGTGTTTCGTAATTATAGTGAAAACTGTGATTGATTTGTTCTTCTTAATGCATTCAACATTTTGATCGAGTCTCATGGGTTCATGCATAATGATTAAAGTCCAAAAAAACTAAGTTAATTATTAAAAGTCTGAATTTGCAGCGAGTGACATCACTTTATTTGTCCAAAGATGTTAGAGGCTCATTTTTAATCCGAATGTTTAATCTATTAATACCAAAGTTGTTGGAGGTAATCTTATTTCCTAACTTTTTAATTTTCTTAGTCAAGAAGGAGTTTAAAGTTGTTCCTTAAACTTTCTTTCTTTCTTTCTTTCTTTCTTGCTTTCGTAGTATTCTGTTGTTGTTATTCGGTTGTTTGGCATTTATCCTTGAAATACAACTCCTAGCTTAGCATGTCTATAACCACTAAAGTGCAGAACAGTAGAGACGGATGGATGGGTGGATGGATGCGTGGACGGACGAATAGAAGGTTGTTTGAATGGATTGATGATTAGATCTTATGTTAGAGTTTGCAGACTGAATATTCAATTTATCTTATCAAATTAATTTATTTTATCAAATTTAATATATTTGATTTGATTTTGCAGGTAACAGCATCTGACCCAGATAAGGATGCTGACCAGGAGGCCTTGAGATATTCCCTTCATGGTCAAGGTGCTGAGAGCGAGTTCATCATTGATGAGATGACAGGGAAGATTTATGCTCAGAGAACATTAGACCGCGAGGCCCGGGCAGTGTGGCGTTTTGTGGTCCTGGCCACAGATGAAGGCGGCGAGGGACTAACAGGATTCACCGATGTCATTATCAATGTGTGGGACATAAACGACAACGCTCCTCTTTTTGCTTGTGCCCCGGACAATTGCAATGGCGACGTGGCTGAGAACTCCCCGCCTGGCACTTCCGTGATGGAGATGACAGCCACTGATCTGGATGATGCAGCTGTTGGACAAAACGCAGTGTTGGCCTATAAGATCGTAGGTAATGCCGCCCTTAATGGCGCTAATAGTGGAGCAGATGTTTTCAGCATCAATCCCGCTACTGGGACGGTTTCAGTGGCAATGTCTGGTCTGGACAGGGAGCAGACCGACTCGTATATCTTGGTGGTGGAAGCACGAGATGGTGGAGGTATGATAGGAACGGCCACCGCCACTATACACGTGACAGACGTCAATGACCACGTTCCGCATTTCCTGGACCGCTCGTGCTCCATACGCATTCCTGAGAGCAGTGAGCCCAACACACCAATCATAGAACTTGCCGCAGAGGATGCAGATGCTGGAGAGAATGGCCAGCTGACCTTCAGTGTGGTGGCCGGTGATCCCGAACAGAAGTTTTACATGGTGAGCCATCGACAGGAGCAGCGCGGGACCCTTCGTCTCAAGAAGCATCTGGATTACGAAAGACCGGGCGAGCAACGCTTCAACCTCACCATCAAAGTGGAGGATATGCAGTACTCCAGCTTGCTTCACTGCACGCTAGAGGTCGAAGACTGCAACGACCACGTGCCAGTCTTCATTCCTCACTTTCTACAGCTTCCTGCCGTACGAGAGGATGTCGCTCCAGGAACCAGCGTGGCAAGTGTGGCTGCCACTGATTTGGACTCGGGGTTGAATCGCGAGATCACTTATAGCATTGCTCCGGAGTCTGATCCGTACCATCTGTTTTCTGTGGACCAGTCGGGGTTGGTCACTGTGGCTAGTGAGCTGGACCGGGAAAAGGTCGCACAGCATCACTTGGTTGTACTTGCGACAGACCACGGCACACCACCGTTGACTGGCACTGCAACTATCCAGATGGCTCTGCTGGATGTCAATGACAACGGCCCTGAGTTTGAGGCTGTGTACGCACCAATAGTGTGGGAGAACGTTTTGGGCCCGCAGGTTGTGCGGCTTAACCAGAGCTCCACGTTATTGAGAGGCGTGGACCAAGATTCAGAGGAGAACGGCTCACCCTTTTCCTTCTCTGTGCCTCTGGAGTATCGTTACAGCAATGATTTCCACCTGCAGGATAATGGGAATGACACGGCCACCATCACCGCCCTGAGAGCATTCGACAGGGAAAGACAGAAAGAGTTTCTACTACCTGTCATCATGACCGATAGCGGCAGTCCACCGAAGACCGTCACAAACACCCTCACTATCACCATCGGTGACGAGAATGACCACGCCCACATAGCTGGACAAAAGAAAGTGTCCATCAACTGTCACAGAGGTAATGGCTTTAACCTTATAAGCATGTACTAGCAGATACAAGGGTCAGTAATGGTTAAACTACATTTAATTAAGTGGGCTGATAAAATGTCATTTAAATTGATTGTAATATTTGACGTGTGGGTTTATCTGTTAAATCAGGAGTTTTTTCATTGATCTGGTTGTTTAAATTGTTTGTGATTGTTTGTATAAACCAAGGCATTTTTAATGTTATTTTATTTCCCTGATGATTATCATAAATATAATAAATCTTCAAAAAACAGGTTATGTCTTTAAAGTTATGAGATACATTTATTTATTGGTTTATTTGCATACATACGTTTAATACAGATACATGTTTAATACACTACCGTTCAAAAGTTTGGGGTCAGTAAGGTTTTTTTTTTTAATGTATTGGAAAGAAGTATCTTATATTCACCAAGGCTGCATTTATTTGAGTTATTAAAATAATGTAAAAAATATAATATTGAGAAAATGTTATTACATTAAATTAAAATTTAAAAAATCTAAATAACTGTTTTCTGTTTTATTATATTTTAATTGTAATTATGTAATTTAATGCAATTTATTCCAAAATGGCAAAATTGAATTTTCTGTTCTGAATATACTCCAGTCTTCAGTGTCACATGATTCTTCAGAAATCATTGTAATATTCTGCTCAGGAAAAAATTTATTATTGTTATCAATTTTGAAAACAGTTTTGCTGCTTAATATTTTTTGTAGTATCTGTGATATGTTTCTTTCAGGATTTTCTGGAGAATAGAAAGTTCAAAAGAACAGCATTTATTTGAAATATATTTATTTATTCGTTTATCCGTCCTTGCTGAATAAAAGTATTAATTTATTTAAAAAAAAGAAAGAAATCTTACAGACTCCAAACTTTTGAACGGTAGAGTATATTGTAGCTTTGTCTATTCTACCGCAAACCTCACGTTATTGATTGACTGATAACAGTTGTGGATCATTGTTTTAATGCTACATGCTAGCAAAGCACATGCACCTTAATTGTGGTCCACACACAACAAAAGAGAGCCCTAACATGTTAAGGCTGTATAATAGACAATGTACTGAATTGTTCTTTTCTGAAGATGAGCACTTTAGAGCATGATAAATGCAACTTCTCTGATTCAAATGTTCCACGACGGACAGAAGATGTTTTAAGAGTGCCTGAAAATGTTGAGAACCACAGAGTGAAAATGCTGAAAAGTCTGTATGTTCATCTTTTACTCTATGGAAAATTTCTTTAAGGCTCTGTTGAAAGTCATTTGTAGTAGATTATATATGATTTACTAAATGGGGGGCTTAGTGAGAATAAAGCTATATTTCGGCAACATTTAAAATAATAATAAACATTCTATGACTAAACATGTTGAGAATTGTGAAAGAAAATAAAATTTTAATACTTATTCAGAAAATTGCTAAATTTGGTCCATTTCAGTCAGCACTCGTGTCAGTAGGCAGTCACTGTGATGTTGTGTGACTTTGGCATGCTGGCCGATTCAAATTATAATATGTTCCTGCCAGACTTGTTGTTATGATACTTTCAGAGTCTAAGCTGCTATTATTTGCGATTTTAACTGCAATTTTGTGTGTGTGGGGTGGGGGGGTGCATTTAATAGCTTTACACTAATGTTGCAATTTAGCTATAGTGGGTTTCTATGGTCAAAGTTCTTATTATAGAATCATCTGTTAACCTGTTACTTACTATAAATTAGGGCTGGACAATAATTCAATACCAATATGTATCGCGATATAATTTTTTTCAATAACGATGATATGATTTTTAAACACATTTCCGATATTTCGATATACATTACCATTGTTTCACCATACATTAATAGTGTTCATATCGATATCGGAATTATATCGTATCGACCGAAATTAAGAAATATATTGTGATATCAATTTTGGCCATATCGTCCAGCCCTACTATAAATAAATGAAATCAGCTCATCATTTGACGACTAGCCGTTGAATTGTTTAAAAATAATGCACACCTGCTTTGCTTTGCTTTGCATTGTGGTTGTTACCTCGGGTGTGCATTATTCTTATCAATTATTCAGCAGCTCGTCGTTAATTATTCCTTACAAATAGAGTACTGATTATCCCTCTTGTGTAATGGTTACCACACCTCAATAAATTGTTCAGATGTGTTATTAAAAGACATTTGTCAGGTTTTTGGACTTAAAACACTCTTGGGTTTAGAAATAATTTCTTTCACATCCCATCCCAAGTTTGATAGGTTAAACACCAGCTAATGTTGTCAAAAGTACCGACTTCGGTACCAGTCAGTACTGAAATTTAAAAAAGTCCATTTCCCGCTGATAGATGTGGCTTTTAAACGCTCCCGTGTGCTTCTGTGTGAGCGCTTGGTGAAGAGTGTGAAGCGATGATCATTGTAGCCAATCACAGATTATCTGTTGAGCACATGAACACATTGGCCAATCAGCAGTGTTTAAGAATTGGCTTAACAGTGCTCAAATGTAAAAATGTATGTTTTTAAAATGTCACTTTTGACAACACTAGCCCCCGCTGATAATTTCAAAATGGCATTTTAGTGTTAGTAACAGGAGATTGAGCCATTGATTATAACAGAAAGAGAGAGAGTTTAACAGTTGTAAGCTGTAAGTTTACTTGCTTAAAAAACAGCTACTGAGAAATGTCATGTAGCTTTTCAGTTGTGAAACTATATTATCGAAAAAGTAATTTATAGGGCAGCACTGCCAACAAATTTCTGTGCGCATATACATTTCCGTCTGTGTGCCTGTACAGTATGTGTGTGCAAAAAGAGCAGAATAAAGAAATCATGATTTCCATAGTAATAAAAGGGACTTTAGTGGGGGAAAACATGAAAATTGTTTGTCATTTTTATCCTATTGTTTGTTATATTTATTTTCTTGATCAGTGTCTTTGTGGGTTTTGATTTAATTTGCTGTTGTAGGCCTTTGAAATACAGTATATATAAATATATTTCCACAAACTGAATAATACATATTGTATTTCAGCTTACGGTTGTCAGTAGACATATATCTGTGGACAATGCTGAATGCTTGCAGTGACACAGAGTCTCTCTCTCTCTCTCTCTCTCACACACACACACACACACCAGCATATACACATTGTTTCAACTTTTTTTTTTATGACAGGGAGAATGCCAACCAATGTACTGGGGAAGGTTTACTCACCAGATCCAGATGACTGGGATAACAAGACGTATGCCTTCGAGGGACATGTTCCTAAGTGAGACCTTATTCTATTTTCTTCTCTACTCCTCTTTCTTTCTACATCCTTTTCCTTTCTGTCCACATCATTGCATCATCCCCTCTACATGGTTAGCATGTTTATACACATCTCCCAGCACCTTACCCATTTTTCCTGCACTATTTTTGTTATTTAAAAGGGTCAAGGGATCTCTATGAACAATACCAAACCCTTTCTTCCCACATCCCAGCATCTGTCTTCCTCTCTTGCTCTTCTCTATTGAAGTTGTGCACTTTACTGGAGAGGCGTATACAATGATAAGATGATCCTGACAGGGCCAGACTTGAGATGTCTTGAGCACATAGGCGCCTGAGTTCTCGCTCTCTCAGAACCTTCAGTACACGCAACATAATGTGAGAACACTCATAAAGCGAATATAGATAAAAACAGAATATAGATAAAATTTTTTACTCTATTGGGAAACAAAAAAAGAATTAATTCATTGAAGCTTAAAGGGATAGTCAACCAATAATGAAAATTCTGTCATTAATTACCCTCATGCCATTCCAAACCTGTAAGACCTTCGTTCATCTTCAGAACACAAATTAAGATATTTTGATGAATTCCAAGAGCTCTCTGACCCTCCCATAGACAGGAAGGATCCTAACACGATCAAGGTCCAGAAACATAGTAAGTGTTTGTGTTCCGAAGATGAACGAAGGTCTTACAGGTTTGGAACGACATGAGGGTGAGTAATTAATGACAGAATTTTCATTTTTGGGTGAACTATCCCTTTAATATGATTTAGCTTGTAACTGGAATGTGTTTGCTTTCATCCTTTCTATAGAGTTTCTGTGCACATTTAGTGTACATTCAGCAAGCTCATGTGTAAGTATTTATGTGAAGCCGAGGTCAGAAGTTGACTCATAAATTGTGCTTTTCAGTTTTGGAAGTTCAGTTCAGATTCAGATTAGGTTATTTTGAGGTCAGCGAAATCTATATTTCAGTGCCATTCATCTGCCGTTCACAATATGCTAGAAAAGGAAACATTCGCAACACAAGAATTCACCCTCTAATTTTCTTCATTCCCTGGTTTTCCCTTTCCATAACCCAGAATCGTCCCTTAGCTTCCACTCTGACAATTTATTGAAAAGCATTCACTCTAGCCACATTTCAAGTGAATTGTGTGTTTGTTGATCTCTTTGATTTACACTTTGGCTTTTTTATTATTTATGTAGTGGCTGTTGGTTTTTGCAAGGTCTTCTCTGAAAAGGGTTTAGAGTTGTATATTTTGTATTAACAAGAACAGTAACAAATATGCAGTCAGACAATTAATATTTAATCCTGTTATTTTTTTCTACCTACAGTTATTTTATCCTGAACAAGCGGACAGGGTTCCTCATCATAAAGGAGAACGCTCCTCCTGGGAGTTATGACTTTCAGGTTCGAGTGTCAGATGGGGTGTGGCCGGATGCCATCTCTAGCGTGAAGGTGAATGTGAAAGAGCTACGGGACGATGCCATCTACAACTCAGCCTCTTTGAGATTAGCAGGTACAGATGATATTTACCTCATGACAGCATGATGTAGTGCTGTTTGACTTTAAAATGAGATTTCAGCTGATCAGTAATCAGTGCTAGCTTTTACACTTGGGAATTTGTCTTCTCTCCAATTATCTGCAAATTCCGCTAGAACCACATACATGGCCCTGTCCCAAATGGAACACTTCATGTGCACTTGCGGTCTTACGGACTTACAATGGCCGCTGTGTGCGCGTGTCCGTTAAGTCCACGAAACCGTCGGGTGTCCCATTTAGGGTGTCCCATTTGTCATTTTAGCGTTCAAAAGGGTGTTCGCGGGCGCGTTCGTGAACTCAGAGGAAGACCGCGAGGGTTTAGGGTGCCATTTGGGACAGGGCCCATATAGTGTCTTTTCAGACTTTTTATCAGCCTTTGGTGAGTACCATTTTTATAGATAACTTTTTTTTGCTTTTTTTTTTGTTAAATAAGATTAAAGTTTGAAAAATCTCCTCTTTGGTTTAAATAGAATTATCCATATTTATTTATAGCATTCAGTGATGGTGTCATAATAATTCCGTATTGGTCTCATCTTTCTTGCATCCGTTTAACCATCTATAGCCGTGTTGATACTGCAAAGGCACGTAAGTTCTTTCATGCTTTGGTACTTATGCACAGTCAACAAGAAACAATGCAGGCTCTGTTTTATGACAACAGCAGCTCTGATGCATCATTTTATTTGTGCAGAACTAAAAGCCTGAAACCTAAGCTTACCTACTATAAAATTATTCTTTAGTCTTTTTGGAATGCAAATGGATTATACAGTGTGCATATAAGGCTGCTGTAAATGTTACTTCCAATTGAAATAATTTTAAAGGCTCTAAAACTAATTTGATTGGTAATGAATGGCACTCTGTATACAGCACTGTACAGACTTGAGCCGAGTCAGTGTCCACTGCTTATTTCAATCAAAGACATTAAAATAGTTTGATGGTTTGGGCCTGGAATCAGGATCTGTGTTGATTGTGTGCCATGTTGTGGCAGTAAAACTCATGGGCTTATTGACTTTGGTGACATTATGACAGCCAGCGTTTTAATGAAAACAAGACTGAGCTGAAATGAAATGGACTCTAGCTGAGGTTTTTGTAGTTTTAAGACTATTAAATTGGGGGAGAAGGCCTTGTGGGAGATGGAGAGACAGAATATAAAATGTAAGCAAATAGCAAACTCATAAGCCTATAAAGAGATTTTTCTTTGATTTCAGCAGTGCAACTGAATTTATGACAGGCATGGAACAACAGCAAGCAGTTTTTATTATTGCTTATTGTGACTTCACAAATAACTTCACAAATGTCTTGTAACCACAGTGTATATGTAAATGCCTCTTCTTTATATAATCTCTGACAATCCCTAATTGAAGCAAGATTATGTGTGGCATTAAAAACAATCTTAGTTACTTTTATTGCATTTTCATAGTTTTATCAGATAATCTACGGTGGTCTGTGCAATTAGATATCCGTCCCATATTTCTGTTTAGTCTTTAAACTAAATAATTTGGTGATTTACTATTAACCCTCTAGGGCAGGGTTCCTCAATAGTGAGAGAAAAAAGTTTGGCCCGCGATATTTTCAAATAATGTGGCATGAAAATTCAAACGCAGCATCAGAAAGCTACATTAACTTACGTCATGTCTACACCGGACGCGAGCGGCGCGGTGCGGCGCGACACGACAAATCGTGTCTCGTTCTATTTATAACGTACTGACAAAAAGTTAAAATGATTTGCAATGCCATTGAATAAAGCACATAATCATTACCTGAGATTATCGCTGTCATATTTTGTATGTTGTTTCTGCCGTGACGTCGCAGAAAATAAAAACCATTCCTAAAATAGAATCCCATGTCGCTTATTGTCACGTGCCGCCTTCGCGGGTGGTTAGAACAAAAACTCCATGGAAAATATACTTTTTATCGTGTCATGTCTGGTTGGGACACACAGTGTTACAGTTTGATCCCCCCCCAAAAAAAATCTAAGTATAAAAATATTAATACTGACAAATTTAATAATTGAATCTGCAATTAGGGAAAGTGGAGAGAAGAGATCCAGGCTGGAGATGAGCAGGAACAGTTGATTTGTATGGCAGACATGGAGATCCAGATTTTTTGTTTGTTCATTGTTTTTAATATTCAACAGGCAAAGTTCTTCTGTATCTAAATGCATATGGAAGATTAGAGGTGATTGTAACCCTCATGGAAATGGCAGAAGTCTGCAGGAGAAACACGGGCTCTGAGGCTATACCGTGGACTTTACACATATGGGAACCACTTAGGCCTCTACATATGGAACCCAGCCCTCTAGTGGTTCTCACGGATTCAGCGAATGAGGACCTGGAGCCGGACGTTAAGCCAGGGTGATGGCATCCACAATCCAGTGGGCCATCCTCTGCTTAGAGACGGCTCAGGATTACCTGGGAGTCAGCCGGCCCAAACTCTAGGCACAAATTGTTGACCAAAAATGCGTGCAGGTCCCCTACTCTCTTGATGGAGGCCAGTGCTAGCAGGAGCAGAGTTTTCATTGAAAGAAACTTTAGCTCGAGATGCTGAGACTGAGCTAGTATGAGCCAGTCGTTGAGGTAGTTGGGAATGCGAACGCCCTGTTCTCTCAGGGGAACAAGGGCAGCCTCTGCAACTTACGTGAAGACATGGGGCGACAGGGACAGCCCAGAGGGCAGGACCTCGTACTGATATACTCGTCCTTCTAACAGAAACCGCAGAAATGGTCTGCGGTGCGTAAGGATCCACACATGAATGCCTTCGCCAGTAGGACTGTGATCTCCGCACGCAAGACAGGAGCATCAGCCGCCTTCACTATCGTGAAGCGGATGCCACTGAACTTGGGGGGATGCCGGGTGAGCTAAATCGCATAGCCGAGGCTGATGGTCCGCAGAAGCCAATGAGACAGGTTGGGTAGCGCTAGCCAGGCACCCAGATAACGTGCAAGCGGGACCAGCGGGACCAGATCGAAGCTTGTGAGCAGACCGAAGAGGGGTCTGAGTGTGCCCTCCTGGGACCCAGGGACAGAGAAAACCGCTCTCTCGTTGATATTTTCCAGATTCTCCACACGGCCCTCCTCTGGGGGAGGGAGAGACAGTAACGGCGTAGCATGTAAGGCGGAGGCAGCTTCTCCACAGGCCGTATAAGCATCGCCGGACAGGCCAGACGAGGACCTACAGACCCGGGAGGGGAGGCACGGTTCGCCCTTCGTATTAGGAAACAATTGCATCGCAACCGACCGCTCCACCTGGGGGACCCTTGTATACCCCCTAGCTGCACCACCGTCGAGGGTGGTGAGGGAGGAAGAACCAGCAGGTCGGTTTCCGGCAGTAAAAAGTGCCATCAATGACCTGGTGAGCTCCTCATGCACCTCCGGGAAGAAAGGCACTGAGGCGGGGCACTGAGAACCAGCGCGAGCCACCCCGAGAAACCAATCGTCCAACCTCGAGGGCCCGGGACGCGGTGGAGGTTTCCACT